CTATTCCTTTTGACGTTTACTTCTAAATTAAAGCTGTACGCCAATAAACAAAATATAATAAAAAAGAAAACAAAAAGAAAACAGTGTTACAATATGCATTTGTTTGGTACTATATTTCTATTTACATAAGTATAGTACCAAAAACATGACAAAATTAATAAAACTCTTCTTCTACATATCTGGTTGTTGGTTAATATTTAGGGATGCAATTGGTGAGCTGAGGGTTGGAGAGGATAGCGGCCCAAACAGCTTGCATATAAAATGGCCAGAATTAAAGTGAGTGTTAAACTTTGTTATTGTTAGCAATCCCTCTGCTTTATTCGTCTTTTAGATATAGTGCTAATATATTTTGATTGATGTCAAATGGAGAAAGCATAAGTTGTAGCAACAAATACAAATTATGTGCAAACATATTTTTGTATCATTTTAATAAAACTTGTGTTTCTCCAATATATTTTTACATAGCAGTGGCAGAAATGCCGAACCTGGTTATGACTCGGGGTATTCAACCACATAACTAAACAGCCAAGGTAAACAACTTTGAATAAATACATTTTTTTAATTTGCAAGATTTTGTTAAAAGTAGATTATTATTGCAATTCTATTATTTGCCGTCATCAAAACCTCAATCAAATGAACTTGCACTGAAAACTAATGGAAACAAATTACTATGGTAGTGCAAAATAAGGAAAATATAATTAAACAAAAACTAGAGGTGCACTCCATAGATGGACAATGCCATTATTTTTTTTTTCATGCTCGAAGAGTACGTTTCAGTTATGGAATTTTTTTTCAAATTTCCATAACTTTGATATTGATATTTTAATGCAAAACTATGTTAATAAAGCTGGTAAATAATCAAAACCTAAGCATCAATGCTTAGGTTTTGACAACAATTATTCAGATATCAACATTTTTATTTTCCATAGAAAAAAATATTTTTTTTAAAAATAGCAAATAAGTTTTTTTCATGATTCCCCAAAATTTGATGAAGGAAGGGACATGAAACAAACAAGTAATTTTATTTGGCCTAACGCTTAATGATATTAATTGACTTCTTTTTTTTTTTTACATATATAGTCACATAGATAGAAAACATCTTTTAATCATTGACGGAAATGTTCAGTAAGCTGGAAAACAAAGTGGCTTCATTAAGAACTTCCCGGAGAACTTACGATGGAAACACATTCTTGTAATGTTTAAATGAGGCAATTTTTTTTTTGTTTAAAGAACAAGTTTACCGATTTTATATCTACTTCATCCAGGTCTACATTGCCTACCTGGACCATTTGATATTATTTATACGAATATAAGGACAGTAATAATACAAAGATCCTTCCATAATTTTGCTAATCATATGCATTATCCAATGGCCTGTCACTAACCTTAAGTCTGGTTCTCACGAGAGCCCTAGTATCTGGATTGGGAGCTAACCGTTAGCGCTAACCGTTAGCACCAGTGTGAGAACGCCTGATCGGTTAGCACTAACAGTTAGTGGTATCCGGATAGCACTAATGGTTAGCAAGCGCTATCGGTTAGCAAGTTGAGCGCATTTCATACCGCTAACGGTTAGCAAGCACTATCGGTCAGCAAGTTGAGCGCATTTCTATCATCAACCAATTTAGTTGAGAGCTCTCAAATAAATTTGTGATGATGTGCCAGGTGCATCTGTGGCTATGTTCTCACACGGCAACTAACGGTTAGCAGGATCCGGATCCTGCTAACCATTAGCTGCCATGAGTATACAAGAAAATCCCTATCCAGATATCAAGAATATGATCGAATCACTGGCCAATAAGAAACTGGAAATTGCAAAGGGTATAAAACTATTTAGAAATAGGATTCAAAATAGACTTAAATGAAATACAAAGGTCTTAACTCCTGTGACTTAGTCTATCATGATGCAATGTGAGCAGGACACACTGACTCACAACATACCTACCTCAGCCCACCATGGTATTTGTTACCATTGTAAGTGTTTAAAGTATTTTTTTTTTAATGTCTTGAAATGACATTCCAATATACTGAAAATGCCAAATTTCAAATGTTCTTATTTTATGCAAGTGGCAATAATGGGTATTTGGCTATAATCTTGGAATGCATGGAAGATAAAAACAAGAAGCAAATCTAAAAACACTTTGGTCTTGTTTTAATGGAAAAATGAATCAGGTAAAAAGACATTAATACTGTTGTTTTCAAACATTACAATCTTTGAAAAAAATATGATATAAATTTGCTTCTTGTATTTAATTCTACAAATACCTTTTATTTTTGTTCATCTACCTCAACTCTGTATTGTGCAAATAATTTTCTAATATCCTTTTAAATTTATATTAATTTGGCAAAACCAGCCGTTTGAAACAATTGTGACTTTGAACAAGCACTCAGAAGGTTTGACTATCAGAATTTTTAATATTTTCTGTTTTTTTACATTTTATGATATTGAAGAACATTTCTCAAAAAAAAAAATCAATCACTAAATCTAACTGAAAAGTATATTACATTATTTTAAAAACTTTTGAAGTTCTTTTCTCAAAACCTTCATGGCTGATATCTAATGAATTAAATGTTCATAACTTCGCTAATATTCTACCAATTCCCATCAAATTAAAACTGTTTTAAAGAAGAATTCATGCAGAATCTAAACCTACCCTGAAACACGATTGTGAATTTTTCGGACAGCTGGTTTTGCCGGAGCTTATCACAATTTATAAATTTACCTTTTTACATAATAATAATATCATCTTGTAAGGTGCACGTACCTTTTCTGCATTTGATTTATTATATTTATAAATAATAAATTTCATTTTATTTATATATAAAGAGCATGTCTTATTTATTGAGAAGTAGGGTAATTATTCTCAAGTTCAAATTTAAGTTGCATTTCAATTTACAATCTTTGTAGCTTTGCAGTTTTTTTTTTTGAATGACACATTACAAAAAAAAATGGACCTGTGTCTATAAATTGCACAAAAATATTGTAATATGAGAAAGAAGAAGATAAAGGTTATTTTGATTCTGAATTTGTAGAGTTTGTTATTTGGACATCACGTTGCTTGGATTTCCTGAGAAAAGGATGATTTCTATTCTACTCTATAAATACGTCCTTATTCTGTTAGAATACATTGTAATATGGCTACTTTAATATTAATTATAATACTGCAACGCAAACTCCTACGTCTGCCTATAACCTTACATTCTGCAGAGTTGGTAACCAATCAAAGCTTACCTATAGTTCCACTATGTGAAAGTATTTCATGTGAGTTTATAAAATTCTCAACTGTGCCAATATAAAATATAGGTGTTTGTGGTCTAACGGTTGACACTCGCCTTGACAGCCAGAGGCTGCAGGTTTGAATCCCTAGTCAGTCCTGGTAATGTTTTATAGCAATTCATAGTTTTAGATTTTAATTTACAAACAAATTATAATTTTTAATGAGAATGAACTATTAATCATATTTTTGGGACTACTACGAAATGGGGGTAAAATATTTTAATGAGGAGACAAAAATAAGGATGGTGTGACTGACATGGTCTAGACTCTCTATCTGATCTGTAAAAGTCCTTCTTAAAGCCTCCTCTATTTCGAATTATAAGTGACAATGAAGTACATTCGTATTATGTGATAAATTGTGGGCATAAAATGCATACACTTCTAGAAGAAATGATATATGTACTAACTAGATTTGGGTTAAACAACACTACCAACTGCCCTCTCTAGAGACAGAAGAAGTTAGGGTTACAATCCTAGTCTGATCCTATGGTGATCAAAACAATAAAATAATAAAGACAGAATTTAGGAAGGGTTGCTCATTGTCAGAATTCCCTTCCAAAAACAGCTGCATGGGTAATTATTAGTATGCGTTTGGGATCACGGGCAGTGCATTTTTTTTCCAACAATATCAGTGAGAAATACAACAAAATAATTTATCAAATGTACAAATAACCATGCCAAACAGGATCAGCATCACCTTATTTTCTGATGGTGAACTGTCAGGTCAAAACATTATATCAATATTACCAATGTGTATATTTAATAAATTTGCCTATACTTATAGTGCTTTCTCACAAATCATCACAAAAATGCTGAACAGACAGTATTATGTTTTTTCAGGGCATTGAGATTAGATTGAGCTAAGCAGAGACGATGCCTACATTACAATCCAAATAAGAGCCTGTTGATTATGAAAAAAAAAAACTGCTGGCAACGCTCTATCGAAATAGTCCCTCACCGGGGAAGCTAGTATAGCTTACAGTGAGAATTTTAAGTTATTTTCTTTTTCTTTGTTGTGGCAACCCATCCTTATTTGCTACTTTGCTCATGGTTTTTAATATAAAAAAAATTTCTTGTGACATAAACTTTACTCAGGGTTCATAAAATGTATTACCAATATATGTCATAGTACACCACATTTAATTTGGGCATTATAAAGTGAAATTTCCCAGAATCCAATCACAAAATGGATAAATCTATATTTGAAATGAAAATTTCTGATAACCTAGCAACTACCACTGGGGGACTTTCAGAGGCCTAGCATTTCGCTCTACATACTTACCATCATGGATTAATTCAACAATGAAACTAAATCATTTACTAGTACAAATATTTTAAAACTAAAAAAAAAAAACATGAAATGTTTACATTAAAAAGTCTAAGTCTTAAAAAGCTACAATATTTCAATGTTAACATACAGTAATTACAGTAAATAGCAAGATTGTATATGCTGTGTGCTGCTGCTACTGCAAAGGTCTAGCAGCTCTATTTGCTGAGCGGTACTCTATTCATAACTAGCCGGCTGCTCAGGCGAGGCCGCTGGAAGTCCCCCAGTGAGTTATGAGACGTTGGTGGTGCTATTTGAAAATAAATCCCATGAAATGTTCTAATATATACATATATCATCTAGATGTGTATATATATATATATATATATAGAAGAGTGTCAGATTGATGTTACACCCTCATTATCATGAAAAGTATTATATCTTAGTAAAATTTTTTACCTTGAAATGACCGTAAGTTCTCTGTTGATGTTGGAATCATTCGGCATATTTTAAGTACGTTCTCATGAATTGCTGATTCAGTCTCCTCTCACACTTCCTGTTAAACTCTTTTAGGTTTTCTTCAATCTGAGGATCTACTCTAATTTGCAGGTATGTGGTGAATATTGACATTTGGAGACTAAACACTTTGCCTGGTAATCTAGTAGCAGTCTAAAAATAAATAAAGATGAAATATAAAAAATGGGTAATAATATTCATTAATACAAGTCTTCCTCTCCTGGATAATGGGTTCTCGTAGTATAATTTCAAATAGTGTTTCATTAACTGAGCTTTGATCTATCAATAAATCAATACGGATAAAGAAATAATAACACAAATAAATAAGAATGCATATATATAATAAAAATTAATATATAAAAATAAAAAAATGAAAAATAAATAAACAAACATAATTTTAAAAATATATTTAAAGAATGAAAAATAAACAAACATAATTTTAAAAACATTAAAAAAAAGAAAAATAAATTGAAAAACATAAATACCAAATTAAAAAAAATAATAAAGAAATAAACAACAAATAATTAAATAAACTAAAATCAAATGTAAATATTTTTGGTGCTACTATGGCGTTGGCTCAGTCCAGAGTGACCCATTATTATAAAATAATTATTAATATAATAACACTTGGGAAGGTAAAGCAAACTTATGGCCTTACGTGTACCTCCTCGACATCAAAGACAACCTTGCTTGTGATGGCAATGACCCAGCAGATTCTGGCATCCTCCTGTCAAATCAGCCTCCATGTCAAGTCATCAAAATGGATGCCCGTCAGTGGCACCATCACTCATTTCTGCAAGTAGATAGATAAATTAATCTTTACTGGTGTATTTTCGATAAATATTGTAAAAAATACCTTCATATCCCTTGGATGACGCACAATGAACTATAGAAGAACCTGTATTATTACCCTCTTATAGAACATCCACTGGATATGACTTTGATTCTGTCCTGGCCCATTAAAGTCAGTGCAATATAATTTGAAGTTTAAATAAATAATAATTTTAAATGACAAATGCAAAAACTGAAAATTATGGAATTAAAAACTGAAGTGTAGCTATAACGTCTGAATGAGTAAGAGTTGGAGGACTTTCAGAAGAAATATGAAGCTACTAATATTTTTGCCATCCTAATTTGAAGTACCAGCAGGAAGATCTTAAAAAGGCATTGAAACCCTGCAAAGAACTCAACACACTAGATATAAACAAATCACATCTGCTGGATACGACAATCAGACACAGGCATGTTACTTTATTTTCTGCTTGTCATCTCCTTCTTTACATTAGAGAGGGTGCTATTTAATAATAATGTAGATCAGAAAATATAGGAATATCAACATATTTTATATTAACACTTTTGTTCTATATTTTGACTCAAACATAATGCTCTGCTATACCAGGTATTCCATCGCACTAAACATGACTGCAATTGTCCTATCCAAACTGTCATGTATTAAGCCCATCATATTACAAACTAATAACATTGGAATCATCAGAAACATCTCCTTTTCAATGATATGTACTTTTTCAATATTGTCCTGGTAGTTTTCATGTTAGGGCTGTTCAAAAAATTGGTGGCGGCAGCCACTTTTGTGGATTTTTGACAGCTTTTGATCCAATAATCAGATTTTAGTTACATTTTAAATTTAAGCTTTTTTCTGGCCAATATTTATTTGTACCAATATCTGAAGCAGAATGGCCATTTGCTGGCCTGCTATATTTTCATATAGCCATAAGATACACATTTACAAAAGTACAAAACACTGTAATACTCAGTTTAACTAAGAACAGGATTGCCAATAACATACCTGCCAACATTCAAACATGGACCTACTTAGGTCCAAACAGCTATGAAATATTACCGTAGTTCCCCGGGTATAGTCCCACCTCGGGTATAGTACAACCTTGGGTATAATCCCACCCCGACTTTATGCTCAACTTCGCGTACAAGAATTTTCCCTGTGTCTTTACCTGGGTATAAATTGGGAGAGTAGGCCTGGGCCAGTAAATTTAACAAATGCTCACAAAAAATAAAGGAATTGTCTCTGAATTACTTTTTGACTTTTTCAATTGCTTAGGATAGACATTAGTCGCCGTAAAGTTGAATACAAAGCCCATCCTTGTAAATTCATTTGCTGCCGCTAAAAATAAACAGCTCGCTACATGCGGCTAACACCGCGGTCCGTCCCTACAGAGACCCGCCCAGTGGGATGATTGGATTGTTAATTCACAACATAAAAACTCACATGTTCCACAGCTGCAGCTAAAAAGACAATACAGCGGTTCATCTTTCAAGAGAACCGCCCAGGTGGCTGATCATAGGTCATTAACTGAGTTGCATTAATTGGTTCCATACTCTCTTTTGTTTTGTTTTACTGTGTGTATTGAGGGTCCCTAATGATCAGCTTTGGCTGGATGGACCAAACTCATTAAAGATTGTTGAAACATAAATAAATAAATAAATCTGCAACCTTCCAGAAATTTCACCCTCTCCCTCCAGCTGCCACACCCACTGGGAGCTTCATCACTGGACCCCACCGCTAAAGCTTGGGCCAACAGCCAGAGCCTTCCTTATTTCCCATTCATTCTCCCCCCTCCCTCTCCCACAAATCAAGTCTCAGCTTTAAAAGAACATAAACAAAATAATATACCTTTGGTATAATGATACAACCCATCATTGAAACTCTTACTTTTCTAGATCTAGAAAAGTAAGATTAATCTTGCGTCTTACTTTTATAGATCTTACTTTTATAGACACCCATTACCGGGTACCTCATCCTTGATGGACGATTTGATTTCTGAACTGACTAAATGCATGGAGGTAACTGCAATCTTTTTCAATTCGCTACTATTTTTTTCATAACTTTGTTTTGGATTCTTTGCTAATCTGTCGCTATCGCTATTAACCGGTTTGCTTCGTTCGCTTGCATATCATCGAACACTTATACTGGACAGGTGATAAATGGACAATAATAATGTTATTATTCAATTTGATCTCATGTGAGCAGTTGCAGTTTAATTCCCGTTTAAATCCAACATTGTATCCCCTATTATTTAATAAAATATTTCATTAGTTTATACCATAAAAAGGATTCTGTAGTTTTCATTATGGTTGCACAAGCTTCTACCGACTTAGCAGCGCTTAACTGGAGCCCGAGCCCCCACAATGAATTAAGTGACTGTTACGCTTACTCTCAAGTAGGGAAGAACACCTGCTACATCTATATAATTATGTGAATCTTAGATGAAACACCCCCATTTTAAAAATAGAAGATGCCTGTAAAGGTCAAGGTGATGCTGGGTGGGAGGTAAGTCACACATTCATGTGACAAGTTCGTTTTCTGTTTATTACAGGTATGTGTTTTATATTTGTATAAATTTAGTATTAAGAAACATGAAATACAACTATCTTATTAGTTAATTAAAGTAATAATATGTCAGTAGACTAATATGAATACTGAAGTTGAGATACAATAAAGAATTTAGTTATTAATAGGTTAGTAAACCTGGTAAAATGTTAGTGGGTAAAAGATTCAAATAAAGTAATTTATAAAACATCTGGCTGAAATGTAGTCTAGCCAACCCACCAAATTTACAGGAAAAATGGTGCCTGCAAGCAAACCTCCTGTTTTTATTGGCACACACCTTTACAGCAGTGTCACACACTAATCTGTGGTGCGTCCAAACTTAACGATAAAAGTGAACAAAAATAAAATTTGAATGTGCACTACTCTATCAATGTAGACAGAGTAATAACATTATTGTTAAATTCACCCACCTTTTTTCTTAATTTTGATAACAATGTAGCTTGGCCTGGCTATAGACCAGGCTATAAGTGAGATAGGGTGCCACTTGGAGAGGTAGAAATTCTCATATGGTTTTTCTGGACTTGTTTTTTTATGGGGAATCAGAATTTGTGAGGTAAATAGGCTATAACCTGAGAACTTTCATGTGAGGACACTTTTTTCAAAATGGCCACCAAAATTCAACAAAATACATGGGCAGAATAAGCACATAAGAGGTAGGTTTGAACAACTCTTGAATATGTAATGATAGCAGTAAAATATAACTAGCTAAAGTTATTAATGTGAAGATTTCAGGGGGCAATTGAGGGTGCTTTCTAAAATGGCCACCAAAATTAAAGAACAAGTTAACAGCAGCTTCAATACCCTAAATAAATTTGTTTAATTTTCAAAACATGAAACAATGAATGTAATAACTGCTGTTGACTTTTTAAACCCAACATAACATATTTTAGGATGGTAAGGTACCTCACATTTTGAAAATGTAAGTAAAAACTCCCACTTCTCTTTTCTGTTTTGAAGAATGGAAAATATCACCACTGACCAGAATCCCAAAAAATCCAGCTTCCTTACCTTTCATTATTTTTGTGTACTACACAAGGTATTCCAGAGGACTAACAAACAATTACCATAACTTTTATGTATAAAGAAGGCATTAATTCATTTATTACATGTTTATTACATCACTGCAATCTGAAATAGTGAAACAGTTCTTGGACGTCCATGGGCATCATTGTCATTTCTTGCTTAATTTGTTCATTCCATCTGTTTTTATTGACAAAACAATTTACTTCTGCTTAATTTCCATTCTTTAGCAATTAAATTCGCTCCAATGCTCAAGGGTCTGCAAATATGGTGGTAGCAATGTGTGTAATCTTATTGCCTCCATTGAAAATTTCACATCTTGCTAGATTTACACTTTCCCATTAACTACATGCAGCTGTCTTCAAGTTCCTCAGACAACCTTTGTAATAGAACATGATCTAAAAACTTTAAAGTTGCAGAAAGTGTCAACAAAACTTTGCCTTTGATTACAGAAGCATGAGATCCAACAAGGGATGATTTCTTAGCTGGTGAAAGTCACCTAATTTGAAAAACTTTCGGTATTTGCCAGTGTTTGTGTCTAGAAAGACCTTCTCTCCGTTGTCATAAAATAAGATATACAGTAGCAACGCCTGCAATATCAATGTCTCCAGAATGGAACGGTTGATATTTATGCATTGGTTGTAATTCCTTAAAGCATGCATTGCATGCAGGATGACTTTTGGGTCTGCTTTTCTGGGCTGCTACGAAGACTAATACAAAATCGCTTTCTGTGACAAGGATGCATTCTTGCCGATAACAATAGTATCTAAGAAGGTACCTGATCAGTGTGTCAAAATCCAGTTGGCCAAATCCATTTGTTCACTGAAATCATGAAATCCCAGTTTGCAGAAACTCAGTTTGCCAAAACCCAGAGTGCCCAATCCAGTTCACTGAAACCATGAAATACCAGTTTGCCGAAACTCGGATTTCCGAAAACCAGTCCAAAACTTTGTGTTACAAAAGTACAGCATACTGTGCATTTGAAAAATGTTGGGCAGTTCAGGAATGAGCTTCATTTGTGTACAAATTAAAAGGAAAAGTATTGGAAGACAACAAAGCTGTTGAAAAACACACTCGAAAGTTAGAAATAAAATGAAATGAAATTGAGGATAAGCATCGTATCCTTCTAAAATACTCCCCCTGCAAACCTTATCAGGATTACCTTATCAGGATTACCTTATCAGGATTACCTTATCAGGATTACCTTATCAGGATTACCTTATCAGGATTGTTGTGCCAGGTCCCTGACCACCGAGGCTCTAGTTGGCCCTTTGAGTCAGACCCCTTGTCGACAAATTTCTGGAGCCACAATTGGCATGTGTGTATAATTGTAGATTATTATTAATTTGTTTATTTCCTTTACTATTATCTTAGTTAAAATTTTTGTATTTATCATAGGTATGCTAATAAAACCTTTTATCTGCAAGGCCTATTAAATTGATTTTTACTTGCTGATAGCCAATTGATTTACAGATTAAAACAAAAAGAATCATTTAACTACAATAAGCCCCTATTTCTTAAACGCATACATAGTGAGAGAGTGCTCCAACATGAACGTTACGCTGTGGTTAATGTTTTACTGCTTTATTGTATTTTCAACAAAGTGGGTTTCAGTGCAAACTGGGTTTCAACAAACTGGGATTCGTAGTTTTTGATTTAGCAAACTGGCATTGCTGCCACCATGTTAGCAGAATCTTGAGCTTCAGATACTTAGCAAACTTAATCGTTAGAATGAAAATAAGCAGAGGTAAGTGACTTTGTCAATAAAAATAGTTGATGGAACCGATGGAATAAACAAATGCCTGTGGAAGTCCAAGAATTGTTCATACAATGAATACGAAGACTTTCAGAATGCAGTGATAAAACGATACCTGAAGATTATTGCTCAACATAGGGCTACACAGTTAAATCACTAAAGGACAAATATGTAGTAAATGAGTTTGATGGAACCGATGGAATGAACAAATGCCTGTGGAAGTCCAAGAATTGTTCATACAATGAATACGAAGACTTTCAGAATGCAGTGATAAAAGCGATACCTGAAGATTATTGCTCAACATAGGGCTACACAGTTAAATCACTAAAGGACAAATATGTAGTAAATGAATTGATGCTTTCTTCATGCATGAAAATTATGGTAGTTGTCTGAAATACACAAAAATAATGAAAAGGAAGCTGGAATTTTTTTGGGATACTGGTGATATTTTCCATTCTTCAAAACAGAAAAGGGCTAATATAAGGGGAATTTTTACTTACATTTTTAAAAGCAACAGCAGTTATTACATTCATTGTTTGTAAATTAAACAAATTTATTTAGGATATTAAAGCTGCTGTTAAGTCGTTCTATAATTTTGGCTACTATTTTAATAAGTTATACCTTACTCTTATCATTACATATTCAAAATTTGGTCAAACCTACTGTACCTCTTATGTGCTTATTTTGCCCATTATATGTATATTGTTGGATTTTGGTGGCCAATTTGAAAAAAGCGACCTCACATGAAAGTTCTGAGGTTACAGCCCATTTACCTCCCATATTCTGATTCCCCATAAAAAAAACTGGTCTAGAAAAACCATGAGATTTTATCAAAGCCCATAAAGCTTACACATTAAATTGGGTAGTTGCCTACATATTCTTTTTTCCATGAATTGACAAATCCAAAAAAGGAAGTAGGGTTGAGGGTCCTCCCAGGGAAGATTTTGATTTCTAGATGGCGGAAAATGAGCTTTCCCAACTTTTTTTCCAGATCCACCAATGGATTGTTGTGCAATATCATAATCATAATTATACTGGGATATTTCATTACCACATCACATTAACCCTCCACTAAAACAGGAAATTGTGTTGTTATAAATGCCCTTCAATTGAAGGGAAGCTTTCAGAACACCAATCGTATAGTATATAAATGTTATTTGTGATCATTAAAAAATTGCATCTATCTGTTGATACATAGGAATGAGTAGCTTTCTGGTTTCACTTCTATTTGGCCTATCTATTAAGAATTACTGTTGACAAAAGGTTGTGAAGCAGTGGCACAACAGTATATATACTGGAAGCTTTGAAGATATTCAGAATAAGACAAAAGATAGCGGCAACATGGAGGACGGCGAGTGGGATTTCCACAGTAAGTGGTATTATTTTTCCACCCAAATTTGGGTCACAAAAAAATTATTTGGGTCACAAAATATGTCAAATTTACTACAAAAATGTTGATGTAGGTTTTCAAAGGAACAACATTTGAAATACAATCGAGAAATGTGCCGTCATATGAGCAAATTTATAGACACATCTACACAGCAGGAATATCACAGTTAATCGAATAGAAGTCGTACAAATTTGTGGTACAGCAAAAACAAACACGAGAGGCTTTTGTCTTCCACTACACTTGTTTCTTAGATTAATGTCAGTTAAATACAATACTACAATATAAAAAAAACCCTGAACATTTAACAGCAATAGGTAGTTTTCGCCGCACAACATTAACGTTAACATAATTTATTCATCTTGCGTTGCGGAGTACGTAAACTTCAGGATTTTACGTGCTCAACGTACGTTAGTTACGGGTTTGCGCATGTGTTTTTCGATTTGTTTACAAAAAGGGGCGGAGTTTTCGCGTTGCATGTTGGGTACTAACATTAAAGTTAAGGTTAACATCGTGCGGCGAAAACTACTTATTATTAAAATATTCTTACTTAGTACCGAAGAGAATTGGTAGTCTTGCTAGTAAGAAACAAATTTTAAAAATGTGTGTGCAATGTGTAGTTCACAATGGTTCATCGGATGATGTTGTCGGCTTGCTGCAAATTGCAGGCCTAGTTTATAAACTGTGGTAATTAAGGATCGCTATGTTTCCGTTGCTTAAATCAAATACAGTTTAAATCAATATGGCACTAGGTAATGCTTTCTATCGTGAAGGATCTGTCATTAATTTATCAATAGTATCTAAAATAATATTATGGTTATATCAATAACGTTTGTTTTCACATAGCACAAACTGGTAGGAAGGTAACAATTAAGTGTATGACAGACGACTGGCCAGGAAATAAAAAATTAGGCCTATAGATGTCAATTCAACTACGTTTATGTGACACCGAGGATATTATTATTTTAAGAAAACATATAGCCCCCATCTTGATTCGAATCCTAAACCGTCAGGGAAAGGGTGTGAATACAATTTGTTATAAAAGAAAAAAACGAAAAAATGTACATTCACTGAAATATTTTGAAAATATTGATTAAAATTTGTGTTGGTCAATACTAAGAAATATTACCAAATAGTTCTTGTTCACGACTGTTAATAAATCATTGGCTATCTCACGAGTGCTGTTATATACTAGATTGGTAATATGTGATCAATGTAACCATGTATCTATTTCCCAGCGCTGTATATTGCCCTAACAAAGTTAGGATGGTAATCATTCGCTGATAGAAGCAAAGCTGCAAACCTATAACATTTTACTAGATTCAAAGTGGCACACCACCAGCACTTTGCCCGAAACTCCATAAAAGGATGCATTTTGAACCGTTCATGCCCTTCTTAAATTTAATTCAATCCACCATTCATTCAGATCAATTTTATAAATAAATATACTGTACAGTACAATATAATAAATTTTAAAATATAATAAATTTTAAAATATAATAAATTTTTAAGTACTTATAACTGCAGTCACACATTATGGCTGTCAGGAAGCTCTGTGATGTGAGGGAAAAAACATTTTTAAAACTTTATTATTTTAAACGTTATTTTAATTGTAATTATAAATAATTTTTAGTAATTTTTACATATTTATTGTAAATACAGCAATTTTAATTATATAATTATAGAAATAATAATAATAATTATCTTTTTATATCTTTTTTTTTTTTTTTATTGTATTGATTATATTTTTGATATTTATTACAATTTTTGCCTGTAAATGGGAACAAAGAGTTCCTGTTGGACGATTGAAATAAAATAAAAATAAAATAAAAAAATTTTGGATGTGTTGTGCAACTGATTTTTCTAAATACAAAAAGATGTTTTACGAAAAAAAACTTGGGAATGGTTAATGGGATACAGATTTTAGTATAGCGTTCTTAAAAACTGGGGGGGGGGGAAGAATGTGGAAAAGGGTGGTTACACAACTTTCATTTTCTTGTTCCAATAGTTACTTTACTTTTCTTACTTCCTGCCACTTCCTGTCTGCAAATACACCATTACAATAATTGCTGTGAAGAAGACAGTAAACAATTGCATTCAATCCCTTCAAGGATAATATGCGAATAATGTTACAAGGTACCCATAAAATTTACAAATTGATTGTTTAATATTTAGGTTACTATGACAAGGACAGTGAACAAGGGGATATCAGCTATGAGGCGAATTCGGAACACACAACATCCTACATCATTGTTTATATACTGACGATTGTGATATCATTACCTGGAAACCTGTGCATCGTGCTGTCTGTTTGGCGCAAGAAAGCCCTGAATGACGCTGTCTGGTACATGCTTGCTGCCATTTCCTTATCGCTGGCAATTCACAATATTACGACCACTTTTTATTTAGTTTATACGATAGAAGTCTCATGGACCTTTGGATTGGCCCTCTGCAGATTAGTTCCGTTTATAAACATGACGACGATTATTTTCACATGCTTAAGTTTTGCCGCAATATGCATCATAAGGTAGGTTGCGATAAATAAGGTCATGTAATATGGTACAATATTTAATTTAGGTCTAAACATTCTGATGATCTTAGAACACCGAAACCAGATTGTGATTCCACGCCCTCTTTCAACTGTAGTTAAAGTAGGACACAGGTTCCTGCACTCTATGCTCGATGCTTGTATACACATCTAGATGTGTATAAGAGACAGGGGCTACACAGTTAAACACTGCAAGACAAATATGTAGTAAATGAATTGATACCTTCTTCATACATGAAAATTGTGGTAATTGTCTAACGAAAAACAACCGGATATTTGTAAGGAAGCTGGAATTTTTTTTAGGATTCTTGTGATATTTTCCATTCTTTAAAACAGAAAAGGGCCAATATAAGGGGCATTTTTACTTATGGAGTGTTTCTATATTCGTTGGAGTGTTTCAATATTCATTGGAGTGCTTGTACATTCATTGGAGTGCCTGTGTATTCGTTGGTACTGTTTGTATAATCGTTGAAGTGTTCAAGGTTGCCCTTTTGGCATTCCATAGTCTCGGGCTCACATGGAGGCGTTAGATACGTCATATGACGCAGCGAGTGCCTGGCTTTAGGTAATTTAAATCTTGAAGGCCAACTCAGACAGTGCTGTATGACGATTTGTTTGATTTGACCAACATGATTTGTTGTTGTGTCAGGTCTGTGCGAGTTAAATGCAGACACGATGGTTTATGGTGGATACAGTTGCGTCGTGGGTGCAGTTGCGTCATAGATATTAACATAGATATTCAACATGTTTAATATTTCTCACGACGGCTTACACTCCCCGATGATGAATCGTGTCAGGCTGCATCGTACGATGCTGTCTGAGTTGGCCTTAAGTCTATGCCATGTACCATGATACACAAGGCAACATTGATAATTTCTTATTGAGAGATATTTGATCCATTAAGTTGGCAACCGGCACAGAATACAACCACAACTTTTTGCTGCAATTTGTTTTATATTTTCAGGGTAGTCTTAGTGGTACTGTAATTCAATGCACACAAAATCATTCATTGACTTCCATAACATTCTACCAGGTACCCATTTATATTCCCTGGAAAGTCATAAGTAGTTAAAGTGCCTTGCCCAAAGAGAAGCGAAGTTCATAGCGAAGGTTCAAACATCCAACATCAAGGTTGAGCCAGAATAATTATAATCACTACACAACCACTCTCACAATGCAACTCACAATAATTGTAGTTAATGTTAAAATATAATTCATAAACAAAAGATACGTAATTAGCCAAAATCTTTTATATTAAACTACAGTTTTCTCTTTGTAGGCTTCTGTCGCATAGTGTGATGAAGCGTAGTTTCCGGGAACACCCAAAGTATAATTCAGCGATCGGTCTCACCATCATTGCTATTATTTCCATTGTTGTCTGTATTCCGATAGCAATTTTCCATGTGCGTTACAAACTTGTCATTTTCTTTAAAATTTATGTCATATAATTTAATAATAATTATTGTTATGGTCTAATAAAACTAAAGAATTTGTTTAAAGAACATAATGTAAAAATACAAACAGGGAATGTGTTGCAAAGGTAAGTATATAATACCTGAGGTCTCGGCACAAGACAGATATGCCTATATTAAATCAATTCCAATAAACAGAAAAGAGTCATGCATTATAATATTTAAATTTACACTTTAAATTTGTTTTGTTTTCCAGGGATAAAATTTATTGTCGGTAAATAGTGTTTTTAAACTTGTGTGATTTATTTTGTTATGCACCTATATTCAAAGGAAGTAGTTTCCTAATATTGTACCGTATTGAATGGCACCCTTCAACTTCTAATTTTGAAGAGGAAGAAATTACAGCAATAAACTTTTATTATGTGTTAACAAAGCTCTTTTTGACAACATTCTTTAGTAAGCTTCCTATTTCCCAGGTCTATGATTTCCAGCAGAACAAAACATAGGTCACTAAAACAGATGTAAAATTAGTTAGAATTAATCATCTCATAAATTTTTATAGCAGTCATTCAATTCATAAAAAATTATTACAAACTCAATAAAAAAAAGTGTATAATTACAGCATCTCTGATGAAATATTAACCTGTTCGTCATTCATATTTCTTTACCCACAGAATGTTGAAAATTCCGGCGAGCATAAATTATGCATACTAACATCTCAAACTTTGCATTCACACATCATGTGGAATACTCTTTTCATACTATCGTTTGCTGTACCGTTTACTATTCTATGGTCCGTCAACCCTCTGATGTATTTTTACCGCCGTAAATTCTTCTCAGCGATGTCAACAGAAACGTTCTCTTCAAATGGGAAGAGCGAAAATCAGGTAAGTAAACATCATCGACTGAAGTTGTTTAAAGATATTTAACTATATTTTTAAGTGCATCCGTGCATAAAATCGTCACCGTATTCACGGAGAGACAAAAACTTCAATTTCGACCAAAACAGTATTTTGACAAAAACGCGTTTGAAGTAGACTAGTTCATCAAACCATGAATTTCACTATCAAGATATCAAAATTTTAAATATTTTTTTACACATGCGGAAAGCTAAAGCATTGAATATTCCGAATGTTCATTTTTTCTGCTCTAATTAATTTAATTAAGGAGTTATTAACGCGCACTAGTTTGTGTTTGTTCGTGAAAACGATCAGAATAAACACAGCATATGTTGTATACACGTAGAGTCTCTTCATGAAAACGGTGCATGCTGTATGCGCACCTGTTGAGGCACAAACTTGCCCAAACTGTATTTTAGCTATGTGTTAACCACTGTAGTAAAGGGCTAAAACAGGTCTACAATCTCAGCTTATCCTGCTTTAATCATTGTTTTTACGAATAATTCCACATTTGATGTTATACTGCAAGAAGGGTACCGGTATGCATAGGTAAGCTAGGTAAGTCTAATTTTTACATCTAGCCCTAGCCAAGCTAGGCCTTACCTAGCGATTACAACGCGGCACGCGCGTCTTTTAATAACCCAATGAAGGTTTGTGTCTGTTTGTGAAAACGAAAAATCCATTTTTCTCGATTTGTGCGCAACGGCTAATTAGCATAATTAGCTAATTAGTGTAGTTCTACTCTTAAAAATTAGATGGAAAGGTAAAGTTCGATGTACATAATCCAAATGTCAAAGAAAAAAAAAATTGAAAAAATGTGATTTTTGAAGTGTCTCTTTGTGAAAACAGTGACGAAATATGCCAGGTCATACATATAGGCCACAGTACTCATTATTGATTTATTTGTTTCAGATGACTTTTCTGCTGTTTATGTTCGCTTTATCGTTCACTTTCCTGCTTGGCCCATTGGAAATTCTATATACATTGCACTACTTTGATGTTGCGCAACTTACTACAAAGGCGATAAAAGTGACCTACTCACTTTATAGCTTCTTTCCAGCTTCCATACCTTTGATATATTTTGCAAGTTTCTACAGCACTTCGTCAGGGATCCTTTTCCACAGCACTTCATCAGGGATCCTTTTCCGCAGAACTTCTTCAGGGATTCTATACACAAGCGTGTAAATATAATGGTGAATGGACATTTCCATTAAGCCAAGCTTCTTGGATATTGTTGCTAAGATCCCACCAAAACGTCATTGTAAAAACATGTGCATCTTTAGGAAAGTACTTGTGTTTTGCAAGACATGAGCGTGTTCAGTTGTTAAATTTAATTGCATTCTTGAAAGGTAAATGAACCTAGCCAATAAACAGTCTGATGTCTAAAGCTCATATTAATGTGAATAATATCCGCTTTTGTGAATAAACATCTGAAATTAAATAATAAAACTTAGTGTAATTTTACGCGGCTAGCTTAGTCGTCTGAATGTACATATTTGTACACTATTTAGTTTATAAAAATAATAGTTTACAATATATACCACAATACATCAGAATAGACATTATCATGCTTATATTTTTAACATATCTCTATTTACTGCAAACTCTCCTTTAGAATGGAAACAAGTAATAGTAACTCCATACAAGGAAAGGGATAAAGCTGAATTTTATGCAGGTAGTTTAGTAGTCTGAATGTAAATATTTGTACACTATTTGGTTTGGTAGAACAATACATACCACAATACATCAGAATAGACATTATCATGCCTATATTTTTAACATATCTCTATTTACTTCAAACTTTCCTTTAGAATGGAAACAAGCAATAGTAACTCCTATTATACAAGGAAGGGGATAAAGCAGATTACAGACCTATTTCTGTTCTACCATTAGTAACTAAGATTATTGAATGTGCTGTACACAAACAATTATATGACTATTTGACAAAAGAAAATATTTTGAATGAATCATAGTCTGGCTTTTAGAAAAAAAAAACCCATTCAACTAACACTACCCTGAGCGATGTGTCTGATTATGTTCTTAATTTAAATAATGGAAAGGGCCACTGCTGCCATTTTTATAGATTTAAATACGGTCTTCTTAAAGCTCTACAAAAATGGAATTCGTGAATCAGCTCTAAATTGGTTTGTTTCTTATCTTAATAATAGATCTCAAATTGTTCAAATCAATTAAACAAAATCTGATTCTATAAAAATTAATATTGGTTTATCTTAGGATCATTATTATTCATAATTAATGTTAATTCTTTACCCAATGCTATCCAATGTAAATGTGTAATGTATGCCCATGACAACTATTTTGTGCAATTCTTTTTTCAAAATGGGCTTGATTTTAATTTTAATGAAACTGCTAATTGGTTTGGTAAAAACAAATTGACGTTAAATATTTTTTTTTTAAACTAAATTTATGATTTTCGGTTCAAACACAATTTTAAAATATCTCATTATCCTATAATGGAAAATCTATTGACAGTTGATTCATTCAAATATCTTGGAATTGTATTTGATCATAAATTAAAATGGTCTGAACATATTAACAAGCAATATTTATAACAAATTGGTGTTATCTGACTGTTTACTCTTAAGATGTTGGCTAATACTCTGTTAGCCCCTTTTTGATTATTGCAGTTGTGTGTGTTCCAACTGTAATAGTTATCTTTCCAATTCGCTTCAAGTTCTTGTAAATAGATTGGGAAGAATTTTACTGTCTGCTGACAAAAAAACTCCAATTGCTGATATTTTAAATGTATTAGAATGGAGTAAACTTTGTGAAAATGGAACAACATCTACATGTTTCGAATGAGTGTTTCAGTGAATATTCTCAATATTATCTATCACATAATTTTATGTTTAATGACTGTCTGCACTCACATTGTACTAGAAGTCAAAGTAAAAATACTCTTTATGAACAGTCTTTGAGTAATATGCAAGGTAAAAGAACATTCGTATACCAGTGTACTAAGCTCTGGAATAAACTCCCAGATGATATTAAAATAAAATTTTAATCTATGACAGTTTCAAAATTTAAAATTTTTATATCAGGTTTGTAAAATCTAAAACAAATATTTCCTTTATATATATATTTTTTCATAAATGTATTTTTTATTTTTTAACTATAATATATTATTCTTTCTTTTTATTATTGTATATACATATAAAGTTCATTGTTTGTTAATACTTAACCACTGTGGAAATCAATGTTTTAGTACTGAAAGTGTCATTCAGTATAAAGAAAGGATAAATAAATAAATGAAAGTCATATTATTGTTATTATAAATGGTAATTTTCATTGTGAATGATATAATTCTCTTCTTCAAAATAATTCTTTTCAATATTTTGACAGTAAATTTTTGGCATAATGTCAATGCATTACTTTACAGTAACATCAAGCTTTATTAATGCAAGCAGTATGACACTTTTAACGAGTAACAGTCTTCCAGACACTGCATATAACAACTATTAATAATTAATAGTCAATTTGAAAAAAAAACACAGAAGATAAAAAAAAGTTAGGGCCCCTCCCCCACTTCACCTTCGCGCCCCACATCAGTGCCTCGCGCCCCACATCAGTGCCCCCTTCCCCCATTTCAAGACCACTGATATAAAGGAAAGCAATGAAAAACTCAATTGCAACAAATAATCAATATACAAGAACTAGGTTGGTGGAGGCAGATGATAGTTCACTAATTTTAACAGAAGTATTAAAAAAATTCTCACCAATTTATAGTTGATTAAATAATACTATTCCGATAGTGCTTTAATTCAGGACATGGCCTATCATTATTTTTTTTCCAGAAAATTTTTTAAGCAAAAAATATGCAAACCCATGATAACATACCGGTACATTTTTTTACCTGTAACTTATATGGAACTTGGGCCTCAATATTCTTTCAAATGAGTAATTCAAAGTTTTAATTCAATATTTTAGGAGCTTTTTTCTCGATTTGTTTATGTGTGGCAGTATTTCAAACAGGCAAGCAGAAGTCATGTATCTTCTCTATTGGTATAAAATACTAATAACAAGGAGGGAAGGGGGAGGGGTAAAGACAAATCATTGGCTGTTGGCATCGACATCAGAATAAAAAAATGGCTTCTTGTTTATCACGTCGCAAAGCAAGCATGCGGCGAATACATTGAATAATAACGAACAAATCATTCAAATTTATGCATAAATCTGAGTACAGTATTTTGCAGGGATCTGTAAGATCAATGAAATTGGGTGAAAATTACACTCGATCAGAAGAACTGGAGATTTGCTTAAATATAGGGTGACATACACCAGGATCGGGTAAGTTGGCAGGTCTGCATTAGCGGTCCACCGCCCGGATTACCTGTCACTTGAAATTACAGTTCTATAGTTTAAACCCAGTCTCGTACTTCAAATCCAGGTCAATTTTCATCGTGTCCCTCGGCAGTAGCACTGAATGAAAAAAACTCATAATTAGACCTAATTACTGAAGATTATGTCTGTGAGTATATAAAAGTTAAATTCAACAAGATCAGAAAGGATGTAGTAAATGTAATATCTGGCTGCCTGCTTACTACAGATGAATAGACATTTCCACTAAGCACCGCCCCTTGGATATTGTTGCCGAGGTTCTAGAAGACAGTGTTAAAACATACGGTAAGCAAACACCACATGTGTTCCTGAGACGCACTGCGTATTCATAGCATTGTTCTGATTTGTTAAATATCGTTGACACTCCAGAAAGGTCTATTTAATCCAGTAGGAGGAGGAGGAATATCACCACCCGACGAGGGACAATTTTCATCCAACTTTTCTAGACCAATTTTTTTGTGTAGATTCCGAAAATGGGGGGTGATCAGCCAGTTTCGGGGCATTTTCGAGGTATAAGGGGTCAAAAGTCAAAATGCAAACAATATATGTACACTTAAATTATTAAGAAAGGGAAACAAATTCATCAAAACTTATACCGACAAGATGGAGTCTGTTATATATTTACACAAAGATGCATACATTATTATCTCGACCAGGAAATATATGTTTTCAGTCATTTAAGTTTGTATGTGGGTGTGCGTTATGTTTGGTGTTTTTCCTGTGGAATTTTTTTTTTTTTTGTGTGTGTGCGACATATCTCAAAATGGCTGCACAAACATAATTGAAAATAACAGGGAGTGGTACAACCCAATGAAGAAATTATTAAATTTTGGTTATGGTCTGTAGTAGGGTGTGGATGTGACCATTTAAAGGGATTTAAGAGCAAACGGCCTAGACTAGATACTGTATTTCAAAAACTAATCAACTGATATGAATGAAATTTTTGTGATAGTTTAACCAAGACAAGGAAGAAATTATTAAGTGTTGGTGATGATCCAAATTTGGGTGTGAACTTGAGGGTCATTTAAATTTTAAGGTTGTGCATGTTTCTTGTGTTCAAAATGTCAAAAACAGCTGCACAGATCCAAATAGCAGTTACATTGGATTGTAAGGTGTGTCCCAAGAAGTAGGTGATTTAATTTTGGTGACAAACTAGAATAGGGTGTGGATATGAGAACCATTTAATGGAAAACATCCCAGACCAGATATTTCAAAAACTAACCAACTATCAATGAAACTTTCGTGAAAGTTTAACCAAGTTACAAGGAAGAAATTGTGAAGTGTTGGGGACGATACAAATACTGGTGTGCATTTGAGGGCCATTAGGTCCCAGACCTGAATATCTCAAAAATGGATCAATGGATAAAAATGATAATTGGCAGAATAGTTTGTCATGTTTTAATAAAGTAGAGTTCAATTTTGGTCTCTATCTTAAGTAGGGTGTGGATATGATGAACATTTACAGAATATGATTACTGATTACTGTGGGCAGAAACAATAGCTATGAATATTTAACTTTGCTATTACAGTAAAGGTGTACAGCGTTTTATATATACTATCAATTTTTTCAGAACTGATTTGAAATATTTTTAATACATACAATTTTAACATGCTAAAAACCAAATCTTCATATTTCTATTTGCATAATATTTCTATATCAACACCAATATATGGATAGTGTAGTACAGTATCGCACACCGGAACAAACCTTCACTCCTGTTTCCTAAAAGCAACAAGCGAAATCTTAGGCTCGAATCCTATACAGAAATACTCTCTATTTTATTAGGTATTATAGTCGGTTTGACAAGATACGAGTAGACTCTGAGTCAATGAGATTCATGTTAATAACTCGTTAGTGAAACAATAGCCTCATTTATGACAGGCTCAGTATTTGTCTCGCAAATTAGACGTTTATGGCCAACTTCCACTTTAAATTTCTTTTAAGGTCCAACGATGTGTACGAATAAACACAATGTTTATCTTTAATTTCAATTAATCGTGTATTATACCTTTATTTCTAAACGATGTTTTTTGGTTAAACAGGCCTAATAATTCATTAGATTTAACAAACCATGCTAGGGGCATATTCAACAAAACTATGCCTTAGCATATTAAGTGTATATATGTATATTTTTAAGATGCCAACAGATTAAAATATTATTTGCTTCTGATTTAATTGGAAGATATGTAAATAAATGCATATAATGAACACATGACATGTTATAATTTGGATGGTACTGTTATCTAGATGTTTGTGTAATATCATAATCATAATTATACCAGGATATTTCATTAACACAGCACATTACCCTCCACTAAAAACAGGATTGGGTTGCTATCAATGCCCTCTAATTGAAGAGGAGCTTTCAAAACGACTATCGTATATAAATGTTATTTGTGATCATCAAAAAATCACATCTATCTGTTGATTCATAAGAACGAGCAGCTTTCAGGTTTGACTTCTATTAAGCCTACCTGGATAAGGATTACCATTGATAAAGGTTGTGAAGCAGTGGCATTATATATACTGGAAGCTTTGAAGATACATAGGATAAGAAAAAAGATAGAAGCAACATGGAGGACAGTAACTGGGATTGGTATCGTGCAAGCTGGACAGTGAGCTTCTTTGATCGGTACAGTAAGTATTATTTTTCATATACTATCTTTAACAAGGGTGATCTAAGTTGTAATATACTATCATTCAAACTATGGGTCACAACCCAAATTTTGGGTCGTTAAAATTTGTCAAATTTAAAACAAAAGTATAGACGTAGGTTTTAAAGGGAACAACATTTCTAAACACTACAATCGAGAAATGTTAAAATTTCCAAAAGACATCTATTACTGTAATGACTATTAAAAATTAGCAAAGGCAGATTTACTGGTGGGGGATTGGGCCAGCCCCAGCCCCACCTTTTGGAAAGTTAAAAAATTAAGGGGAAGAGAAGTTGTGTCGGCAAGTTTACCAGGGTTAATATGTGGGTCCGTAGCATAAAATGTTTTGGTAACAGGGATCTAATATTTTGGTGTTGGTCAATATTAATAGTGCCATGATGAATGGTACTGCTTAATAGTGTCCTAGTAACAAGCATTATTAGTAGTGTCTTTGGTATACAATCATTGATCAATAGAGTGTTGGTCTAGTGCTATTGTGACTAGAGTTGTTAATTACCATACTTTGGTATCAGTGTTGGTAAAGTGTTTTTGTAACAAATGGTGGTCAAAATAGTGCCTTGGTAAGAAATATTGCCAAATAGTTCTCGGTCATGACTGTTAATAAACCATTGGCTATGTAATGAGTGCTGGTATGTAGTGGCTTGGTAATGAGTGATCAATGTAATCATGTAAACTATTTCCCACCACTGTTTTAGTGCCCAAACAAAGTTAGGATAGGAATCTATCACTCGCTGATAGAAGCAAAGCTGAAAACCTATTAAATTTTACTAGATTCAGAGTGGTACACCACCAGTACTTTGCCCGAAACTCCATTAAAGGACGCAATTCAAAACCGGCCGACACTATGTGATTGTGCCCATCTTAAAATTTAATTCAATTCCCCATTCAGATCGATTTTATAAATATATATATAGTACAATAAAATAAGTTTGAAGTTCTACTGTGGTTACACACTGTGGCTGTCACAAGGCTCCGCACGGTCAAAGCCCCCAGCTCAGGTTCCGGAGGGAAAAAAACATTTTTGATGTGTTGTACAACTGATTTTTCTAAGCACAAAAAGATGTTTGATGAAAAACTTGGGAATAGTTATGAGACACAGATTTTTGAATACTTAAAAACTGGGGGAAAATGTGGAAAAAGCATGGTCATGTCCCTTCAATTTTGTTATTCCAATAGATAATAATTTTGTTACTTCCTGCCACTTCTTGTCTGCAAATACACCATTGCATGTTTAATGCAGACAATAAATTGCTGTGAAGAAGACGGTTCAGAATTATATTCAATCCATTCAAGGATAACATGTGGATATGTTAATAGGTATCCATTATTTACAAATGAATTGTTTCCTTTTTAGGTTACTATGTCAACAACAGTGAATATGAGGACTTCAACTATGACATGGTTTTCGAATACAAGACATCCTACATCATTGTTTATATATTGACGATTGTGATATAATTGCCAGGAAACCTGTGCATCATGCTGTCTGTTTGGTGCAACAAAGCGCTGAATGACACCGTCTGGTACATGCTTGCTGCCATTTCGTTATCGCTGATGATTCAAAATATTTCAATCCCTTTCTTTTTAGTTCATGTGATAAAATCTCATGGATCTTTGGACCAGCCCTCTGCAAACTTGTTGCATTTATTAACATGACGACGATTACTTTCACGTGCATTATAGTTTGGCCGCACTGTGCATCATGAGGTAGGTTGCAAAAAATAAGGTCTGTAATATGGTAGTGTACATTCATTTGGGTATAAACATCTTGGCTATGTTCTCACACGGCAGCTAACGGTTAGCAGGATCCGGATCCTGCTAACCGTTAGCTGCCGTGCGTCCATGCGAGAAAATCCCGATCCAGATACCAACAATATGATGATCGAAATAACTGGCCAATAGGAAACTGGAAATTGTAAACGCGTACGTGTGATTGGTTGATGATAAAAACCCCCTCAACTTGCTAACCGATAGCGCTTGCTAACCATTAGAGTATCCGGATACCGCTAACGGTTAGCGCTAACTGATCGGGCGTTCTCACGCAGGTGCTAACGGTTTGCTCTAACGGTTAGCTCCTGATCCAGATACTACTAGGGCTCTCGTGAAAACCAGGCTATAGACAAGTGGCGGGTTTTCTCTGTTGAATTAGAGTACAGTGTGAAGAAATGTATACAGTACAACGATCTCACGACGATGAGACGATGAATTTTACTAAAATATACTGTGTACTTCATTTTAATCATATTGAAGAAAAAGGATGCAGAAACTGTAATATTTACATTTCATTTTAATTATAAATAAACTTGTGGCCGAGTTGACTTGTGGCCGAGTTGACCTGCTTCCTTACATCTATGAGTGAATTTTAGGTATATCCTGGCACTACATACAGGGACACAACTAGGGCCTAGGAGCCTAGGCCTACACCTATTTGTACGCACCTGGCTCATTCCTGGCCAGTGCCCCACTATGGCCCTGAACTACAATTGACAAGTGCATTAGGTCTACACTAAGGCTAGATTAGGCCTAGGCCTAGAGGTGTAAGTAGAGGGCTAGGCTAGCCTACGCCCTATGCCATAGGCTATGGCCAGGCCTAACCTACTCTGGCCCTGGTCGACTGCTGAGCCTTCCTGTCTGTCAGTGTGGGCAGAGGCCTAGGCTAGGCTAGTCTGTTATTTTTTAACACTCCTGAAATTATGTTAATTAGCAGAAAGATAAATGAATACTTAAGATTGTGTCAATGTTGATCAAAAATTATAAACTTACTCATGTATCAATCGTTGAACATTTGTTTTTCGCCGTTTGAAGAACCCGCCAGGGTTGCCAGATAGTCGACAGGCTTCACGGCCAAACACACGCCATCTCACGGCCAAATTCGGCCAAACTTTTTTTCCGATATCGGCCAAAATTCGACCAGATTTTAATCCGATTAGAAGACAACAGTGGGTACATTCATTTGAAATACTACAAAAATTATACGAAAATCAGCGCTCCTTCGTTTGAAATTGAAGAAATTCAAATGATATACACAGAACAATGTTAAAAATAAATAGCCTATGTTCTTTAGTTGCTGGCATGCAGGCCAATTCAGGGAAAATCAAGAGATGTCCGAAAGGGGAGGGCCGGGGCGGAAAAAGGGGGAGGGGGGTTCTAAAGTGGGTCCGATCGAGATAACACCATCTTAGAGGAAATTTGTCTTTTCTAGACGCCTGAAAATAACCTGATGCATTTGGGCGATCAATTTTTATTTATTTATTTTTTTTTTTTTACCACCCCTCCCCCTTAAATCCACCTCTGCTATTTAAAATCACAATATTAAAATTGATCTAAATTTGATTTAAATGTATTAAATATAATGTACATTGTAGTCGATATATAGCAACATTTTTAAGGGCCTGTTATTGCGAAATCCGTGGCTCGCTTAATTAGAATGAAGTTCATAGTTAGGTAACACAAACTGGAGTTTAAAACAACCCATGAAAACTTTAATAAATACTTTTATGTAAACTTTCGAAATTCGCCTCTGAATGTTATTGTCGCAGTACTTAAAGTAATAAATCAATGTTGCTATAGTATCAGAATTATCTTCTTCATTCTCATATGTAACCCGAACTCCAGAGTAACTTTGAAGAAGTCTCTGCAACACTTGCTTGAAATTACACAAATCAATCGTGATGTTGGTAGTCTATGAGTGAGATACTTACCTGGATAACCGACTAATTGCCATTGTTCCCAAAACGGAACACCCCTTCGAAAATAATGGAACAGTCCGACCCAAGG